TCCCACCAAGGGAGGGCTGGCAGCCTTGGGCCTGGGGGGGCAAAACCAGTCAAGTGGCCCATTGAACCACCAAATCAGTGCAATGGTGCCCACCTTTTCCTGGTTTTATAACAGATATTAATGTTATGCTATTCAGTAGCTCTTTGCCATACCTGCTCCTTCACGGCTCTGACTTTCAATGTTGTCAGAGCGCAGGCTGAGAATCTCTGAGCCTGTGCTCTGACTCACTAACTGAGCGTCGGAACCATGAGGGAGAGGCTATAATCTGACTGCACCTATTGCTGGTGCGCACCAGTGGACCACCAGCAAATCGTTTAAATTGAATAGGCTGGTGTCCCCAACTTGTGAGCTGTGTTGTCCGCTGGGCGCCTCTGTTGTCATGGCACCCTGCGTGACCGCACAGCGTGCACACCCCAACGGCTGGCCCTGCTGACACACACTGATGTTACTACTTAGAAATCCCTCAATATTAATACAGACATCAGAGTAAACACCAATAAACTGTGGAAACAGAGCTGATCCCCCCAAATTTATAAAGATTTGCTTACTGGATTTATTGTAAGATTAAATCATGCCTCCTCCTCTCTCTCTCCCATGCGCTGCTCTGTAGGCTGGGAGGAAGTGAAGAGTAATCACAATCTCCCAGCACAGCGGCACCTGTGGCTGAATGGGGAACGGCTGTATTTGCTGCCCCCCATGTGACATCACAATGCCCCACCTATATGAGCTGCCATACGAACTAACGCCAGTGCTGCACACAGTTTGTGTTTACATTAAAAAGCCTGCAGGGACTGGCTATAGACACCAGAACCACTTCATTAAGCTGCAGTCGTTCTGGGGACTATAGTGTCCCTTTAATGTGAGGTAAATTATAGATTAGTGTCACTAATAATATACTAGATTGCCTACTTACAAGCAGATGAGGATGATGATGGGCTGCAGTTTGGCTCCACTGGTCTGGTGTAGAACAGGATTTCTGGAGGCTGTTTGCAACTGTGGTCACAAAATTCAATGTTCTGGGAGAATTGGAAGCAGCTCCATTTTTTGGGGGCCCCTTACACAGCTCAAGGTCTGGGCCCCAGGGCCTGACTGTGAGTATGCCCACAAGGCCCACTCATAAGTCCACTTATATGTTCCACCCACTCATAAGTTCACTCACAGGGAGTGGAGTGTGTAGGGGATGTGTTTTGTGTTATTGTAGAGGATCTAATATGTGTGCTTATGGTATGTAGTGTGTTTGTGTGTAGTGGAAGCAGTGTGTATTTGTGTATAAGGGATGTATTGTGTGTTTCTGGTTGTGTGTAAGGGATGCATTGCGTGAATCAGTGTTTGTGTGCATAAGGGATGCAAGGTGTGTGTCTGTAAGTGTGTGCATTGAGTGTGTGTAAGATATGCATTGTGTTTCTGTGTGTATGTAAGAAAAACAGTGTGTGTGTAAGGGTTTGCATTGTGTGTATGTGTGCAAAGGATGCATTGTATTTGTGTGTAAGGGTTACATTGTGTGTGTGTGTAATGGATGCATGTGTTTCTCTGTGTTTAAGAGAAGCATGTTGTGTTTCTGTGTGTGTATAGGGATGCATTGTGTGTGTGTGTGCTCATAGTGTGAAAGAGCTCCCTGTCTTGGCCCCTGTCCTATAGAGCTGTCCCTTCTGTCCCTTAGAGCTCTCCCCTGCCCCTTAGTGGTCTCTCCTCTCCCCCACCCTCCCATATCGGTCTCTTCTCACACTCACCCACCCTCCCTGTGCTTTTCTCATCCACCCTCCATGTGTTCTTCTCACCTCCCCCTCCCTGTGTTCTTCTTGCCCCCTCTCCTCCCTGTGTTCTTCTCAGTCCCCCCTTCTCCTCATCTCCCCCTCCTCCTTGTGTTCTTCTTACTCCCCCTTTGTTCTTCTTACCCCCCGTTTTTCATACCCCCTTCTTCCTCCTCCTATTACTCTCCCTCTCCTTCACTTACTCTCCCTCCCTCTTACTCTACTCCCTTTCTTTCACTTACTTCTTTCTTACTCTCTCCCCTTCCCCACTTACTCTCTCTCCCCCCCTCAGCCATACTCTCCCCTTCACTTTCTCCCCTTCCTTCCACTTACTCTCCCCCTTCCTTTGCCTCTCCCCCTCCTTCACTTACTCCCCCCTCCTTCACTTACTCTCCCCCTCCTCCTCCTTCTGTTACTCCCCCCTCCTTCACTTACTCTCCCCCTCCTTCACTTACTCTCCCCCCCTTCCTTCCACTCTCCCCCTTCCTTACTCTCCCCCCCTCCTTCACTGACTCTCCCCATCTTCACTTACTCCCCCCATCTTCACTTACTCTCTCTTCCCCTCCTCATCTCTCCTCCCCATCCCTGTATCGTGGCCAAGCTGCTCTCCGGTCCGCGGTGCCCAAGTGTGCACTTCCTGCACTCGCGCAGAAAAGGAGTTTCAGTTTCCTGTAACCAGCCGGACTGACAAGAAGTGCACACTGAGTGTGCACCTTCCTATGACTCTGGCCGGCACCGCGGACCGGAGAGGAGCTCGGCCACGCTACAGGGAAGGGGAGGGGAGGAGAGAAGCAGCTGCAGCTGCCTGAGGCTCTTAACAGAGCACTCAGGCGGCTGCAGCATTTAAAGGGCTGGCCCTGCAGAGGCCGGACTTAAAAGAATTTAGGGCGGCCTGGGGGGCAATTGCCACCCACAATTCCCACCATGTCTATTTGCTGTCTCTCTCTATATCCTACCTATTGTGTTTTTATACCCCACTTCCTCTAGACTGTAAGCTTGTTTGAGAAGTGTCCTCCACTACCTATTGTTCCTGTTACATTTTGTTTTTGTCTCATTTGGTAAATTCCCTTTTTATTGTAAAGAGCTCCGGAATAAGCTGGCGCTATATAAATGCTACTACAGCTACTACTACTACTACTAATAATAATTATGAAAGTCTGACACCATCCAGCCCCATATTTGGCTGATATTTCTCAGATTTTGTTTCAATAAAAAATATGGCATCATAAGACCTAATGTTTCAGTGTGTGTTAAAGGGACACTATAGTCACCAAAACAATTTAGCTTAATGAATCAGTTTTAGTGTATAGATAATGTCTCTGAAGTCTACCTGATTAATCAGGTTAGGAGTTAAATTACTTTTGCTTCTGTCTATGCAGCCCTAGCCACACCTCTCCAGGCTGTGACTGACACAGTCTGCATAAAAATTTTTTTTTATTCATTTTCTATTAACTGTTAACGTTAACTTTTAGCTTTAAAAGTTTTATCTCCTGCTCTTTAAAATGAATTGTTTTATATATTTTTTTATAATTCTTTATTTTTGCTGTGCTTGGGTGTACAAAGAATCTTGCAGTGCCACAACAGCAAGTACAAGAATATTAATCAACATAACAAAACACGTTGCAGGAAGCCATATACATTGAGAGATGGTACAGTACATAGCATTTTCATGATGTAGCACAATTTTTAGATATTGATATTGTTGCAGAGCTGCAATTTTATAATCCCAGGATCTCTGCTGGTAGAATGCAATAACCAAGTACAAAGCTGGAAGCAGGCAATATTCCCAAATCCTCCCAAGAACCAGACGAAACACAGTCTGAGAGTCAACTGCCACTTTATTCAAAAAGACTGATATTTAAAGCAGGTCACTCAACTGTCACTTTATTCAAAAAGACTGATATTTAAAGCAGGTCACTCAACTGTCACTTTATTAAAAATAACTGATATTTAAAGCAGGTCACTCAACAGGGGTTTCCAAAGATGGGCAGCAGGGGTTTCGGTTGAGGGGACTGGAGGGAGACTACCGTTTCCAGGTCCTCCTCCCAACAGCCCCTGCTGTAACATACAGTAATGAAAACTACGAGGACATAAACCGTTACCTTTCTACTTCAAAATATACAACTTAGTCAGTTTTAATAGCAATGCTAGCGAAGGGGGAGGATTCGAACAGACATACACAGTACAGCATAAATTAAACATAGCCGGAGACGCCACACTATACCGGCGCGCAGTACACAACAGAAAATAGGCACAACCATTCTATCTTAGGCAGTCCCAAGTGGCTAGGTTTGCCACAATGCTCCCCCAAAACCAAGCCAGCATACATAGTCTGATCCCAACGGATCGGCTTGGGGATGTCCGGGGGAGTGCTCACAGATCATTTCTCAAGTTCTGTCTGTCTGGACAACCCATGAGCAAGGAGAATGGTTGTCCATACAAATAAGGTTGTAACTTTTTGAGGGCCCACACCACGGCCAGGCATTCCTTCTCGATGGCGGCGTAGCCTACTTCCCTTGGTAGTAATTTTTTGCTTAAGTAAGCTACGGGATGTTCTCCGCCATCAGCTCCCACTTGGCTCAGTACTGCCCCCAATCCAAACATGGAAGCGTCTGTGTGAACAAGAAATCGTTTAGTTGGATCAGGGGCAGTTAACACAGGAGCCTTAGTTAATGCAGTTTTTAGTTCATGGAATGCCTGTTCACACTCTGGGGCCCAGTTGACCTGTCGTGGCAAGTTTTTTTTGGTCAAGTCCGTCAGGGGTTTGGCCAGGGCGCCGTAATTGGGCACAAATTTTCTGTAGTAACCAGTGGTACCAAGGAACGCCAATACTTGTGTCTTTGTCCTGGGGGTAGGCCACTTAGCTACTTCCTCTATCTTGGCCGGTTCGGGCCTCTGCTGTCCGCATCCTACCCTGTGACCCAGGTACTGCACCTCTGCCATCCCTATGTGACACTTGCTAGGTTTTAGTGTCAGCCCTGCCTCTCCAATACGGTCAATGACCACACTAATATGTTTCAAATGATCTGCCCAGGTCTGGCTATAAATGGCTATATCATCTAAGTACGCACAGGTGTACTCTTGGAACCCGTCCAGAAGCCGATCTACCATCCTCTGAAAGGTAGCCGGAGCGTTTTTCATCCCGAAAGGCATGACCCGAAATTGATACAGGCCAAACGGGGTGACAAACGCCGACTTGGGGATGGCCTCCTCGGCTAGTGGAATCTGCCAGTATCCCTTACACAGATCAATGGTAGTGAGATACTGGCCTCTTGCCATCCTATCTAGCAGCTCATCTATACGGGGCATCGGGTAGGCATCAGACACTGTTTTGTCATTGAGCCTCCGGTAGTCTACACAAAACCGCGTGGTGCCATCCTTCTTGGGTACTAGCACTACCGGTGATGCCCAGGGGCTATCTGAATGTTCGATAACCCCTAACTGCAACATTTCCTCAATTTCTTTCCTCATGTGCTCCCTTACTGCTTCAGGGATACGATACGGAGTCTGTCTCATAGGGAGCTGTCCTGGGGTCTCTACTCGGTGGGTAGCTAACAGAGTGTACCCTGGTAAATTGGAGAAGGTAGCACCTTTTGCCGCAATCAACTCCTGTACCTGGGCACGCTCCTGGAGACTTAGCCGCTCCCCCAGCTGCACACCTGTAGCGTTTTCTGCAGAATCTTCCTTTTCTAACATGTCTGGCAAGGGCAGATTCTCATAATCCTCAGTGGCTGGGGCACAGATGGCTGCTACCTCCTCTATTCTCTGGTGATAGGGTTTGAGCATGTTCACATGGAGCATGCGTCGTTTCCCTACCCCAGAGCACGGGCCGATCACATAAGTGGTGTCACATCTCTGTTCAACCACTTGGTATGGGCCCTGCCAGGTGGCCTGTAGCTTGTCTGTGCGGACAGGTTTCAAAATTAGAACTTTCTGTCCCACCTGAAAGCTACGGTCTCTGGCTCCCCTATCGTACCACCGGCGCTGTCGCCGCTGAGCCGCCTGGAGGTTCTCCCGTACGGTTTGGGTTAGAGCCTCCAAGCGGTCCCGGAACTCCAGCACGTATGGCACAATGGGGACTCCATCTGCACTGCTCCCCCCCTCCCAATGTTCTCTAATTAAGTCTAGGGGTCCCCTCACCCTTCTCCCAAACAATAACTCAAACGGAGAGAAGCCGGTAGATTCCTGTGGCACTTCTCAGTACGCAAAAAGCAGATGGGGTAAAAACCTCTCCCAGTCTTTATGGGACTCCCCAAATGTCCTGAGCATCTGCTTCAAGGTACCGTTAAAGCGCTCACACAACCCATTGGACTGTGGGTGATAGGCAGAATTTACAATTGGCTTAATGCCACATAACTTCCATAGCTGGTGGGTCACTTCGGCTGTAAATTGGGTCCCCCTATCCGAAATTATCTCTTGGGGAAATCCCATCCTGGAAAATATCTTCATCATAGCTTCGGCTACCGTTTCTGCTTGTATATTGGAAAGGGCTATAGCCTCCGGGTACCGGGTGGCATAATCTACAATGGTCAGAATATACTGCTTGCCGGAAGGGCTTGGACAGTGGTCCTACTATATCCACTGCTACTCTGCTAAAGGGTTCTTCAATAATGGGAAGGGGGCACAATTTCGCTTTGTGGCGGTCACCCCTTTTTCCCACTCTCTGACAAATGTCACATGTCTGACAATACTGTCTCACATCTCTAGATATACCTGGCCAGAAAAATGCATGTGTCAATCTGTACCTTGTTCTTGTCATCCCTAAATGCCCAGACAGCGGAATATCGTGGGCAATTCTAAGCAGTTCCTGCCGGTATTTCTGGGGCACTATAAGCTGCTCATTAGTCACATGCAGGGGCGGACTGAGAACCCTCAGGGCCCCCGGGCAAAATAAATCAAGGGCCCCCTTACAGGCCCCACCCATACTCTGCAGCAAGCTCCACCCTTGTCCCGCCTCCATGCACCGCCTCCAGCCACACCCTACACAATCTTTAGACACAAAGAACAAAAGGGCAATAAGCCCTTCGAGGCCCCAGTAGAGACTACAATTGAGGGCTAATGGGCCATGGAGGGGGGTCTTTCTAGCGGAGGCTATCTCAGTGTCCTTTACAGGGTGTGTTAGATAGAATCCCCTCCAAGCCCCATTAGAGACTACAATGGAGTCTAAAAGGCTTGGAAGGGGTCTTTCTAACAGAGGCCATCTCAGCGTCCATTAGATATCCCTTGCTGGAAACAGTCGCCTCCAGGCCCCAGTAGAAACTACAATTGAGGGCTAATGGGCCATGGGGGGGATTTCTAGCAGAGGCAGAGGCTAGAGTCTAATGGGGCCTGGAGGGTGGTCTCTCTAACACTCTGGTTCCTATTCACAATATAGCAACACAACATAGCTCGCTGATACCTAAGCCAAGTTGGCTCCTCTTACCTTAATTACTGTTGCTGGCTGGCAGTCTGTGGGCTCGCTGGCTGCGGCTGGCAGGATGTGGGCTTGCTGGCTACTGCCGGCAGGCTGCGGCTGGCAGGCTGTGGCTTGCTGGCTGTAAGCCTGTGGCTTGCTGTAGGCCTGTGGGCTGGCTACTGGCCTGTGGGCTGGCTAACTGGCTGGCTACTGGCCAGCCTGTGGGTTGGCTGGCTGGCTACTGGGGCACTTGTAGATTATTTAAAGAAATAATCTATGCACAATAACCACTACTGCTCCAGAGTAAGTTGTCAAACCGTTTAAGAACAGTTTGACAACTTACCTGGGGTCTGCTGGGATATGAGGCTGTAGTAGGGAATAGGAGCAGTGGTGCAATGTGTGTGAAAGGTTCAGTGTGTGTGTGGGGGTGTAGTGTGTGAATGTGTAGGGTGTGTGGGCAGTGTATGTGTGTAGCAATGTTAGTATGGGGGGCTGTGTATGGGGGTCTGTGTGTATATGGGTGGGCAGTGTATGTGTGTGTGTGAGGCAATGTGTGTAAATGTGTATGGTGTGTATGGGGGCAGTGTGTGAATGTGTATGGTGTGTGTGGGGGCAGTGTGTTTATGGGGCTAGAGTTCACTCTCACCACTGCGACCACCAGGAATCCATGGGGGTTACAGTGTTGAGAGTGAACTCTAGCACGTAGCTCCAGGGCTAGAGTTGACTCTCGCAAGAGCAGTAACGTTGCCATGGTAACCGCGGCAATGCTCTGTGCTCGCGCAAGAAGGACCCAGAGGAGCTGCAGGGTGAGCTCCCAGGTCCTCTCTTCCTCCCCTGCCCGCACGGTGCCTGCGGACAGGGGTGGGGGGGCATTCTTCCCTCTCTTTCTCCCCCCTCCCCCAACTCTCTATTCCTCCTCTTTCTCCCCGTGTCTCATTCTTCCCTCTCTGTCTCTTTCTCCCCCTCCCTCTATTCCCCCTCTTTCTCCCCGTGTCTCATTCTTCCCTCTCTGTCTCCCCCCTCCCCATCTCTCTATTCCCCCTGTGTCTCATTCTTCCCTCTCTGTCTCTTTCTCCCCCTCCCCATCTCTCTATTCCCCCTCTTTCTCCCCGTGTCTCATTCTTCCCTCTCTTTCTCCCCATCTCTTTATTGCCCCCCCTTTCTCCCCCTTCCCCATCTCTATGTCCCCCCTCCCCATCTCTCTGTCC